CACCATCTATGTATTTAACCTAATATTTAGTTTATTACAGCCTACAGGTAGAAATTAATTTAGAGTAGGTATTTTTTCTTCTAGGTAGATATTAAGAATTTGGTAAATTTTACAGGACTGGTTCGCAGTGTGAACAGATTCCAGATTTATATATTATTAAACTGATATTCAATAAATGATTAAAAGAACCAATTTTAAAGTTGCCATATTGCAGCCTTTAGGTTCAAAAATATACCCATTATGCTCACTTAAAAACAACTCTAAATCAGTAGGCTGTCACTCTATTAATGTACCACACTGCTACCTCCACTCCTTCATAGTGCGATGATATTTTGTAGACATGTGTGATGATGTGATGTCATAAATTTTACTTAACTTTACTTTACTTTAAAACTTTTACTAGGTTGCTGTTTGGTGTGAGCAATAGTGAACAGCACGCACACTCCTTTGCCCTGTCAACCTATATCTAATCTATTCAAAGAGTGACAACCATAGTACACATTGAATAAGGATTCCTTTTGAAATATCAAATTGATTTATTGTAACCTTGTTTATTCTGTAATAAATTTTTTTAAAATTATTCAAACAATATACACATAATATAGCAATGACCCTATATAAAAACAAACCTTTAAGAATATAAAAAATTCCCTAAACACTCAAAAATTACCCTTGGCCTTGTGGCTCCAAGTTAAGATCTAGACTGTTTATATTAACAATGTTTTTTCTCGCACCTCTGTCTCCACGGAGAGAAATCACTGTTGTTCTTAGGATTTCAAAGCGAAGGCGCTTTCTGATGTAACCTACAGCATCCGAGTACCTCTGGCCAGTGTGGTACTCCATCTTACTGGCCAGCTTTTTTACCAGTCTTTCAGCCTCACTACCCATTCCACCAGAAGTCGAGAACACTAAAGGTGTGAAGCTTCCTTTCTCCACTTCAAGAACCCTTGCGTTGTAACATCGCTTTTTCTCATTTTCATGGGACTGGTACATTGCTGGGATCGATTTGCTTGCATTGGAGGGGGCTGGGGCATGAAATACCCTTACATCAAAATATGCCCTCTCTGAAGCATTCCAAATCGATCTTGCAGAAATGTCCAGCCTAGCTTGGTCTCCAAGTACTGTTCCCTTAGGCAACTTCAGACCATCAACTGGAAGAAGAACTGGCTCAGTCTGCACATCCTTGCATTTCACAGTTCTCATTAATTCAGCAAAGGTGTCTCTCAGCGAGTTGTGCCGCAGTGACACATATCCACCGAGTTTGCAGATGAGCGCATGGTTTGCTGAGTACTTTTGGCCACACGTACATGTCTTAGGGCTGTCCTTTAAGTTTAGGTTATATCTGAGTGCTATTGCGTCTGAGAACTGTTGTTTGTTCATCAGATATCCATACTCTTTTAAAGGTAGTGCTGTTAACCAAGCACTTGCCCCTTTCTCAGCAGCTAGTTGGAACATCAACTTTGCCAGTGGTGTTGACTCGAGCTCCTGGCGTATTTCCGCTTGTTTTTGTCGATAGAAGAGATTTCGTTCAGTCGTTATCTCAGTTTTCACTCCTTTGCTTACTCTCCAGTCCTCTGTGTAGTTGTCTACCTGCTTGAGAATAGCTTCTTTAAGGGGTTTTGTGGCTCTACATGAGAATTTGTACTCTCGGTCTGCCATGTCCATCATAACTGGTATACCCAATCCTCCATATCTTGGTGGTAGAGCCATTATGTTCCTTAGTTCATCAGTGCAGCTAAACAGCCTGTTGATGATAGCTGGGATAAACTCATCGCGTGTTACTTGTTCCAGAGGAGTGAGCCTATCTGCAACTCCTGGGGTAGTTCTGCACACATAGTTCCATCTTTTACTAAGCCCATACATGTATGCACTGTATGCTATTTGAGGTTCTCTTGATGCTATATCACTTAATTGTTTAAGATCACGACACCATTCTTGAACTTTTTCCTCGATGAAAGCCCCTTTTCCTTCATCAGTTCCGATAAAGCTGCCCAGATATCGTCGACCAATACTTGTCACATTGACATCTGGGAACAAGTTTCTTGCCTTCTCTTCGTGCTCAGGCTTGACTATCACCCATGTCTTGGAAGATTTAGGGTTGTAACCAAAAAGTGGTCCTTTAATGCAGAGGTTATCCCACCATTTCCTCATTTCTTCCAGTTTTCCCCCAGCAGCAGAGTCATCAGCATACCAGATCTGAGTCACTTTTCTCTCAATGTTACCTGCATCAATCAATGGTATTGTACCACATGCATAAAATCCCATAGCAGGTGGATCACCTTGTGTTGTCCCTTCTTCACTAAAAAGATGTTCATCTTCTCCTGCAATAAACAGTCTAGCAGGCATTCTGTAGGTGTTCATAATGTAGGTAGCAACTTCTGGACATACAATATACATGTTGTTAAGAGCTGCCTCTCGGTTCAGCAAGTTGAATGCATTCTCTGCATCCACTAAGATGATGGCTTCAGTTTCAGGATCTTCAAAGCAGTCCCTCGCAGCATGAACAGCTGCTTCCACTCCTCCCTGAAGACCAGCACACACTTGAATAGGAGCAGTGGCACCAACCAGGTCCTTCTGTAGGAGGGTCATCACTGTCTTCCCTATTATCCTTCGTAAGACTTCACCAATGCCAACAGGCCTGACGCCAGGCTTTTTATCCAGGGGAACAAGTCGACATGCTGTCAATGAGGTCAACATCGTTGGATCCAGATTCCTGACACATAGTTTCCTTGCTATCCCTGCTATAGCATTGCATAGATCCTCACACTTCTTACCAAACTGTTTAGAACACAGTAGTCTCTTCCACGCATCCGCATCCATTCCTGAAGGCCCTGCAGCACCCTGTACTCTCTTTGCTGCTTGTCTTATCGATTCCCCGTCAATACTGTCAAAGATAACCGGCTCTACTCTCCTCACTGGTCCACTCAGACAGCTTCCCTTTGATGCAGGTGATGCCTTGGGATGCTTCTCTTTCAGTACTTTTATCACATCTGGAGTGGGTTCAAGAATCCCGGTGGCATTTTCGCCAATCCACCTCATTGCTGCACTGACTTTACCTTTCATCATAAGTCGAGTGAAGACTCTCTCAACATGGCCATGTTCATGTTTCCCCTTTCCCATTCTTCTCTGAATCTCCTGTCCTTCTCGCAGCAACTCTTCTAACTTACCTGCCTGCCACAAAACAAGCCTTCTCTTCAACACTTCAGTGTGTTCCTTTGCTTTGGATCTCTTTGAGGGTTTCTGCAACAGTAGTGATGGCATTATCATCAAAAGGGTCATGGTCATTGATTCCATAGTACTGCCTGCTGAAAAATTGTTGGCCACTTTAGTCATTTCCTCAATGAATGCTTTTCCTGCAGCCCCTGAGGGAAGCAGAAATATGTTTCTTCTCCATTTGACTACAACACCATATATTCCCTCACATTGTGTTAGAACTTCCCAACTATTCCATGATCCTAATTTCAATTGAGATGGATCCCTTACATTTTCATAACCTGGGAAACAGCACTCCTTTCCCTCTTCTTCCACAATATGAGGGTCCTTTGATATTGGAGTAGATGGTTGTACACTTTCTTCGACCTGTCTCCTCAACTTTCGGATAGCTTCAGTTATGGGGTTTTCGTCTTCGTCTTCGTTGCTCTTCTCCTCCTTGCCACATCTTTGACATGACCACTCAGAATCCTCATTTTCTGCTAGGTCTTTAAACTGCAACTCCGACAGTCCACTACATGCCGCATGGAACCATCGTCCACATTTTCCTTCACATTGAATACAATCACATATTACCTCCTTTGAACAAAATCCACAGATATCAGCTTTCTTTCCAGTTTGCTTTCCTACTTTGGACCTAGTGTCCATTTTTCTTGTGTCAGGCATTCCAACCCAAAAATGGGAACCACTACTGTTGCCGAGTCGGTTACCAGCAGACACTGAAGCTTACCGCTGTCAGCCCCTACTGGATACGAGTCTCCTTAACAGTAGTGGACCCAAATTTGGGATCTGATGGAGTAGTCTCAACACCAGAGGATTTTACAGCTCAAGCAAAAAAAAACGCTACGTTATCAAAAACTAACAAATTTCTACCATACTTCTGTAATAAATGACAAATTTTTGTTTAAGGGGGCCGGGGGGGGGGGGGGGGTCTTCATAAAAATTCTCTTGAAATTGACTTTATAGTTGTTTCTGAAAGAGGGGAGTGATATCTATCAGCTGTTTTTGATCCCATGGAAAAATATTGTTCCTAGCCGAAATTATTGCCGGTCAAAGGTCAGCGCTTATGTATAATTGTATTGCGCGAGTGATTTTCAATCGCTCGCCCTTAAAATCGAGTCTAAAAATCTATCTTCTCCTACATTTTTTGAGCAATCACCCTGAAACTTTCAGGATATGTTCTAAGGACCATTTAGAAGAGATTGTCAGGCCAGAATTTTGAGATAGGCCTTAGAAAATTTTATTCAATTTAAAAAATCTTGGACCTCGTTTTTTAGCGATTTTTTCAGGTCCAAGATTTTTTAAATCGAATAAAATTTTCTAAGGCCTATCTCAAAATTCTGGCCTGACAATCTCTTCTAAATGGTCCTTAGAACATATCCTGAAAGTTTCAGGGTGATTGCTCAAAAAATGTAGGAGAAGATAGATTTTTAGACTCGATTTTAAGGGCGCGCGATTGAAAATCACTCGCGCAATACAATTACACATATAAGCGCTGACCTTTGACCAGCAATAATTTTGGCTAGGAACAATATTTTTCCATGGGACCAAAAGCAGCTGATAGATATCACTCCCCTCTATCAGAAACAACTAAAAAGTCAATTTCGAGAGAATTTTGATGAAGACCCCCCCCCCCCGGCCCCCTTAACTGATATGGGCGGTATACAAGCACATATTTCATTTCATAGTTATAAATATGCAAAAATGGATTGATCACTTCATTTGTCTCAGAAATTTTGGCTTTTTAAACTGCAAACATTTGGTTTGACTCACCTTGTATATTTAGGAGCTTCATGTCTAAGACACGTCAAGGTACTCTTTCGAAGTTTACCTCTGACACAAACAGTGAGTTCAACACTAAGAAGATAAATAAGATTGACCCGATACAGATTGCCTTTGTACAGGAGTTAAAAAGGTTCATTGGTAAGTGTCAGTTTATGAATGTATACTTTTTTTCAATGCAAGGTGAAGCTTCAAAACAGTCCAGTAGATTTAAATCTTTCCTGCCGACTCTCTTCAGCATCTCTTACTGCAAATCGCAACCTGAAGGTCATTTCCTAGCTTTATTACTTTTTATGGTACTAGCAAAATAACTACTTTTGCCTATGTTTAAAAAATACTGTATTTCACTATTAATTCAGGTTATGTTGATAGAATATCAAAGGAAGCTGAGCTTTATTTTATCTCAGCCGGTGGTCCAGTAGATGAACCCAGTTCCAATGATGAGAGCCCTGCTAGGCTTTCAAACACACTGTTTAGCCTCTGGAATAGCTACAGCCTCAAGCTTCCAAAAGATTACTTCTTGACCCAACTCATTAACACAGGAGATTATCTCCTCAAGGTGAAAGAATACAATGTGGCAAAGCAGCACTGTTATGATTATTACCTGCGTCTGCTGAGAGATAGTGCAGTCACAGATGATTATTCATCTATATATTTTCCTACCGGATTTCAAGATGAGCAGAGAGTCAAAGAAACAAGTCAGGCTATTTTTGGAAATGGATTATGTACATTAAAGAATTTGGAAATAATAGACCCTCACATGAATGCAGAGAAGACAGTGGCTGATCTTCTGGAGGTTCTGGATGACTTTAGGAAGCTTACCCAGCACCTCATCCCTCATGAGCGACATTGTTGGCTAGTTTTCAATGGAACTGTTCACATCTACAAAATCAGTCAATGGCTTGTGGACTGTGGCTACACTGCTAAAACTCTCCAGTATCTAGTTTGGTGCTGTGTCTGCATGGAGAGTGTCATTCCTCTGATGACTCTCAAATTTCTGTCTTGGAGAGGTTCCTTGTACTCTGCTGTGTGCCAAAGCTATGTAGATTTAAATCAACCACATGCTGCTGAAGTCTTTGCCAGACGATGCCTTCAAAAAGTTCATCAACTGGCAAAAATTGAAGAGCAAAGCATGTCAGAACCCACTCCGGAATCCGAAGCTATTTTTCGAGAGGTCACAGTTAAACTCTCTGCAATAATCTTCAAAAGAGTTGTATTTGAATCAAGGCGCCCAAAGAAGATCATACACCGGCCAAAAACAAGACAGAACCTGAAAGAGCTGCAGTTGTTACCATTTCCTCGAACCGCTTCTGAAAAGCTGGTCATGGATATGTTTGAAGGTAGTTCTTCACAGTTTCTAGCTATTCTAGAGGCTTTGTCAGACCCGTGTAGGAGAACGTGTATGTATACTCCCCCAAAACTCGACACCACCGAGGGGGGAGATGCTCTTATGGATGTATGGGGTGAACTTATACTCGGTAAGTTTTATTTCTCATCTTTTTAGATAGTTATCAATATTTTCATTCCGTTCTGATTTTAAAATTATTATTCTATGAAATTTTACCTTTATCCTAATTGACAGTTGTGTATGATTTAACAGAACACTTTAAAATGGCACCTGACTTCGATTATCAACATTCACGGAGTTCCGCGTTATATAATTAACTTCAATTAATAATACCATTCAACAAGCATGGTATTTAGATGAGATTTTGTTAAAACTAATTGAGATAAAAACTCTTGCTGTAATCTAACAGCTATTTCCTTCTAGCCGGGTACGAGTTGATCTCCCGTTGCGAATCCTTTCCACGAACAAGCCTAGTCCAGCTAGCTAGAGTAGGAAGTAACGAACTGTCTATGAGTGCAGTGTTAAAGTACATCAGGCTGGCTTTCAATTACGAGTACTGGGATTATTATACCTTGGCTGTTTCTCATCTCGTCCCATTAATTGAGGTATTTTATAATGTGGCACTGTTATCTCGTCCCACTATTTGAGGTATTTTATAATGTGGCACTGTTATCTCGTCCCATTAATTGAGGTATTTTATAATGTGGCACTGTTATTTCGTCCCACTAATTGAAGTATTTTATAATGTGACACTTTTATCTCGTCCCACTAATTGAGGTATTTTATAATGTGGCACTGTTATCTCGTCCCATTAATTGAGGTATTTTATAATGTGGCACTGTTATCGTCACACTAGGTCACCGAAACCAGATTGTATTTGATATTCATTGTAGTCTTTGATTATTTCTACTTAAGTTATATATTTTATTAAATGTAGCATGATGTAATTAAATTCCTCAGGCGGTGGAAGAAGAAACAGTTGACCATCTTTTCACTAAGGAGACAATCATGCTGCTAGATGCAATGAAAAGTGTTTCAAATGTGTTGAGGAAAGACACTCGGCCAAGCACCTGTTTTGTAGATAATATGTTGGATGGACATTGCACTCCACCTACTTTAGACAGGTATTATTGGTATTAAACGCAAAATTATTATCTTGATAAATTGCATATTATTACCAAATTTATCATACTATTATGCAGGGTATATACAGTATACTATCTTACATATACTATTGCTGTACAGTATATATTATAGCAATTTACAATGATCATTATTAAATAAACAAAACTACGCAATTCTCACGATTCACCACATGTATTCTTCAGTTTGAACCAGTGTTTAAGTACTCAAGCAGAGCGTGCTAGTGCCACACCAAGACGCAAATCAGTTTGGGGCGACCAAAAAGATGATCTGTTCACCTTGATAAACCTGAGCTCAGTGTTGTGCAATATTAAAGCTAGTGACTGTGCGGAGATGTTTGTGAAGGAGCAAGGGGATATGTTGGTTGACGCCGTCTTGTTGATCCTTCACAGTCTCAAGGATCACTTCTCCCGCCTAGTGTCTCCTTCTACTGTAAGATTACTCGTGTTAAAGCACTGTTGCTATCTTTATTATCTTTATTATCTTTAATATCTTTATTATCTTTATTATCTTTATTATCTTTATTATCTTTATTATCTTTATTATCTTTATTATCTTTATTATCTTTATTATCTTTATTATCTTTATTATCTTTATTATCTTTATTATCTTTATTATCTTTATTATCTTTATTATCTTTATTATCTTTATTATCTTTATTATCTTTATTATCTTTATTATCTTTATTATCTTTATTATCTTTATTATCTTTATTATCTTTATTATCTTTATTATCTTTATTATCTTTATTATCTTTATTATCTTTATTATCTTTATTATCTTTATTATCTTTATTATCTTTATTATCTTTATTATCTTTATTATCTTTATTATCTTTATTATCTTTATTATCTTTATTATCTTTATTATCTTTATTATCTTTATTATCTTTATTATCTTTATTATCTTTATTATCTTTATTATCTTTATTATCAAGTGCCCCTATAAGGCTAAACTCTGAAAATCTTAAAATTCGATATCACGAACTAAACAGGAACATGAATATTATGATTGTACGAATAAATAACTCTCAGGTGAAACAATACTTGGTAGCTGAGAACATCTCAGAGCTGATGGAGCTGATGGCTGATTGTAACGAACTGTCCCTGTGGTTAAACCTCTACAATATAGACCCTCTGTTGCCGGGGGAGATTGCGCTTAAATCAGCACTCTTACTTGAAGCTCATGCCAAGAATATGAAGACATCATTATTCGGGCATCGTTCTGTAAGGACTAAGAATATATTTTATTAAATAGATAATTAATAAAGAAAATAAAGTTTTGTTTGTAGCTCAGGAAATTGTTGTAACACATTGATTTCCATGTTGAGTTTGCTTTCAAGTGGTATACCCCAACAAGGTTCTATGAGATATAGCGTAAGATATTGACAACCAGAGATAGTAGATACACCGATATTCATAGTTCAACTTAGTTCAACAGTTCAACTTTATGACCGTTCAACTAACAGGGTCCCGACAAACTATCAAAGGTCCAAACCACTCTAACAAACGCGCTAACAACACTGCGTAACAGCGTGTCAGCGCTGGAGGAGGTGCGAAATGTCAAGGAGATTGCGCTCACTGCTACCTGTGACCCGCTCATGCTGGTTGTGGATCCTTCGCTCAGCAGGAAAACTGAAGGTTCGTCAGGAACACTTTAGTTATTTCATATTTTAAACAACGGTATGAATTATAAATGTGGATACTTGTTGAGAGGTAAACCATAGGTAATTTATCAATCAGATCCTAGAATCACTGTCACGTGTCTATTAGTGTTAGGGAGCATTACAACAATGGTTCCCCCCAGCTTGAACCTTATTGCAAAGTGTAATATAATGTACTTATATTTTCCCACTTTAGGAGACGTGGCACACAATATAACAGTAGCTGATCTCCAACTTGAAATGTTAGCAGTAAATCTACGATTACAACAGCAACTTCACAAAGCAGAGAAAAGCGAATCTAAAGTAAGCTTTAGTTTTTACTTTCTTATTTTTAACTACTTTTAACTAATATATTAATTGTTTTTTCATTGCTAGAAACTCTTTAGATTTGCCTCTTAAAATTGAGCGATTTTTTTCTCTTTTCAGTCGATTAATTCATTGGCTCAGACGTGAGCTGTAACTGTTTAATTATAATTTTACATAGCATTCTGAATTCTGTATTCTATTTATAACCCATTTACTTACTTCACGTACCAATTATCAGTGTTAATTGGTTAATTATAATAGGTAGTAGAGTGGTGTAAAAAAAATACGCTCTTCCTTGCAATAACTCGGATGCAGTTAGCTACCATTGAAACAAAAGCAGCTGAGAAACACCTACGGGACAGCTACGATCTTCTGCTCAAGTCTTGGTCTGAAGAAAAACGGTGAGATTTTTACCAAACATTATTTAGTTTGTTGTACGATATTTTAGTTTTAAACTTTAATGCGTCGATCAAAACATTTTTAATTACATAGAACATGTTTTACTGTCAAGTGTAGCCGTAATCACACAACTTAGAACATCTTCACCTCTCAAAAGTGTCTCCTCTAATTACTACCTTATTATTATTAAAGTGTCTCCTCTAATTACTACCTTATTTGAGTATGTTCGAATTATCTTCACCTCCTCTTTTCAGGCTAGACACCTCACTTAATATGTACGAATTATCTTCACCTCCTCTTTTCAGGCTAGACACCTCACTTAATATGTACGAATTATCTTCACCTCCTCTTTTCAGGCTACACACCTCACTTAATATGTACGAATTATCTTCACCTCCTCTTTTCAGGCTAGACACCTCACTTAATATGTACGAATTATCTTCACCTCCTCTTTTCAGGCTAGACACCTCACTTAATATGTACGAATTATCTTCACCTCCTCTTTTCAGGCTAGACACGTCACTTAATATGTACGAATTATCTTCACCTCCTCTTTTCAGGCTAGACACCTCACTTAATATGTACGAATTATCTTCACCTCCTCTTTTCAGGCTACACACCTCACTTAATATGTACGAATTATCTTCACCTCCTCTTTTCAGGCTAGACACCTCACTTAATATGTACGAATTATCTTCACCTCCTCTTTTCAGGCTAGACACCTCACTTAATATGTACGAATTATCTTCACCTCCTCTTTTCAGGCTAGACACCTCACTTAATATGTACGAATTATCTTCACCTCCTCTTTTCAGGCTACACACCTCGCTTAATATGTTCGAATTATCTTCACCTCCTCTTTTCAGGCTAGACACCTCACTTAATATGTACGAATTATCTTCACCTCCTCTTTTCAGGCTAGACACCTCACTTAATATGTACGAATTATCTTCACCTCCTCTTTTCAGGCTACACACCTCGCTTAATATATACGAATTATCTTCACCTCCTCTTTTCAGGCTACACACCTCACTTAATATGTACGAATTATCTTCACCTCCTCTTTTCAGGCTAGACACCTCACTTAATATGTACGAATTATCTTCACCTCCTCTTTTCAGGCTAGACACCTCACTTAATATGTACGAATTATCTTCACCTCCTCTTTTCAGGCTAGACACCTCGCTTCAAGGAACTGAACAACAAGGATCAGTCCCTAACCCTCCAATACTAACCTCTAGAACTAGCACTACCATGACATTCAAACCTGCTCCTTATACAGCTCCTAAAGGGGTCAAGGTAGAGTCCCCATATTATATTATGATCAAAATAATCAAGTGCCTAATTATCTCCGATATTCATAATTAATCAGATCTAGTTTAATTTACTAAATATAACCATAATGAAAATGTACATAACCCAGGTAAAGTGGTACAGACTATACGGGAGGTCCTCCTCTGGGAGCAACATAAAAGTGCGAATGAACGACAAGCTGTACCCAGGACTAGCAATGGAGGTAGCAGCAGTAGAGGGAAACGAACTGACTGTCTCTAACCTCACTCCCTACGAGAAATACCAGTTTGCTGTGGCTGCTTTTGACGAGCATGGCAAGCTGATAGCTGGGAGTATCGGGCATAGTAGCAAACCTATACTGGCTTCTCCTCCTTTCAGCCATCTTACTGCTTGTGGGCATCTCATTCAGGTGAGCTATACTGGCTTCTCCTCCTTTCAGCCATCTTACTGCTTGTGGGCATCTCATTCAGGTGAGCTATACTGGCCTCTCCCCCGTTCAGCCATCTTACTGCTTGTGGGCATCTCATTCAGGTGAGCTATACTGGCCTCTCCTCCGTTCAGCCATCTTACTGCTTGTGGGCATCTCATTCAGGTGAGCTATACTGGCCTCTCCTCCGTTCAGCCATCTTACTGCTTGTGGGCATCTCATTCAGGTGAGTTATACTGGCCTCTCCCCCGTTCAGCCATCTTACTGCTTGTGGGCATCTCATTCAGGTGAGCTATACTGGCCTCTCCTCCGTTCAGCCATCTTACTGCTTGTGAGCATCTCATTCAGGTGGGCTATACTGGCCTCTCCCCCGTTCAGCCATCTTACTGCTTGTGAGCATCTCATTCAGGTGAGCTATACTGGCCTCTCCTCCGTTCAGCCATCTTACTGCTTGTGGGCATCTCATTCAGGTGAGCTATACTGGCCTCTCCTCCGTTCAGCCATCTTACTGCTTGTGGGCATCTCATTCAGGTGAGCTATACTGGCCTCTCCTCCGTTCAGCCATCTTACTGCTTGTGGGCATCTCATTCAGGTGAGCTATACTGGCCTCTCCTCCGTTCAGCCATCTTACTGCTTGTGGGCATCTCATTCAGGTGGGCTATACTGGCCTCTCCCCCGTTCAGCCATCTTACTGCTTGTGGGCATCTCATTCAGGTGAGCTATACTGGCCTCTCCCCCGTTCAGCCATCTTACTGCTTGTGGGCATCTCATTCAGGTGGGCTATACTGGCCTCTCCTCCCTTCAGCCATCTTACTGCTTGTGGGCATCTCATCCAGGTGAGCTATACTGGCCTCTCCTCAGTTCAGCCATCTTACTGCTTGTGGGCATCTCATTCAGGTGAGCTATACTGGCCTCTCCTCAGTTCAGCCATCTTACTGCTTGTGGGCATCTCATTCAGGTGGGGTTTTGGAGAGTGTACTTTTATAGTGAGGAGGCTGTTTTACTTTAAGTCTGTCTAGCACTTACTTGATTTGTATTGTGTAAATGATTTTATTTATACGCTACCTTGTATTTTGGTGGGAGCAGGGTGCTTGCCTTATTACTTCTTCTTATTGCAGTCCAATTCTATTTATATTATTAAAACTATCGATGAATAATATTCCACTGCAACTCCCCAGATCTGTCACAAGCAAGGAGCACTAGCCGTAGCAACGGAAGCTTGCTCTCTACTCTGGAACTTCTTTGTTCTTCCCCACACCTCCTCTAAAACCGACATCAACATGCCCACGTAACTGCACGTTTTGTACTTTGAAACCTTTTCAATGTACTGAGTTAAAAAGTACTGTAACAACGTTTAATGAAATATACTTTTGTTTGTGCTGTTTTTATTTGTGTTAGTGATCCGTCCTAAGTCTCGTAATATCGGGTAATAATCCAACATTATAAACACAAGTGGTAGGTCTGCAAAAAGAGATACATTACCGCAATTAAATTGCCATTAAAGATTAATTAGTAACCCTGTAATTAACGTTGTTTAATTAGTAAACTTGTAATTAAAGTTGTGTTAATTAGTAACCCTGTAATTAAAGTTGTGTTAATTAGTAACCCTGTAATCAAAGTTGTGTTAATTAGTAACCCTGCAATCAACGTTGTGTTAATTAGTAACCCTGTAATTAAAGTTGTGTTAATTAGTAACCCTGTAATCAAAGTTGTGTTAATTAGTAACCCTGCAATCAACGTTGTGTTAATTAGTAACCCTGTAATTAACGTTGTGTTAATAAGTTACCCTGTAATTAACGTTGTGTTAGATGTAACTATCCCAGACTCAACATGAAGCATATAAACGGATCCTCTATCACCCTGATCCGGCACCTGATTGAGAGTATCCTGGTTTCAGTGGATATTGCTATCAGAGAGGGAGCCCTGTTTTGTAATGTCACGTGTGATCAGGGTCCTTTCAAGACTAAACAGGTGGGAGATTGTAATACTAATATTATATATTGTAAAGTTGTAATACCAATTATATGCGTTATCATCACTTTAATAAAATTGATCCACTACAGATACGATGCATCTTCTTTCATCACAACAACATTTCAGCTAGCAAGGCTGGGCCTGTGTGAGAAGCTGCTGGTAGCAATAGAGCTGTCAGGCCGTATTAACGACACTCAGCTAGGAACCCAAGCCATTATCCAGACGTACGGTCTACTTGCTCCCCTTATTCATCATAACATCATGTGTTATCCTGCACTTAAGGTTAGGACTGTAAATATTCAACATAACATCATGTGTTATCCTGCACTTAAGGTTAGGACTGTTACAAAAAGTTCGATCAAATTGATGATGTAAAACTTACTATCTTGCAAGCTCAGAATCTTCCAGTTTAAGATTTTATTTGGATCGTAATAACTTGTGCTGTGTCCTCTGATAATTTGAATAGCAAACATGATAATATAGTATGATATTTTACAACTCCTAGTCATGAACTTACCTTTCATAATTGAAAATCAAATCATAGTCTATCAAATTGAAATTATCAATTCAACAATATTAACAATTGATAATTGAAAATAACTTGTTTCCTCTGATAAGGTACTGCTGTATTGTCACGCTGCTTTGACAGAGCTTCCTGGGGTTGTAAAACAGAAGAAACACGCTGGAAACATACAACACATGACAGGAGTCATCACTTTCTATCTCAGCAAGGTTAATTACTTAATTGGCTGATAATTGATATTTTGTTTATTTTTTCAATGAATTCGAATGATTATGGCTGAATTTAGTGGCCGGAAATTGTATTGATATTTCGATAATAATCTGTGTTCATCATGACTCTTGAGCCTTCCAAGTTAATAATTTGTCGATTAGTTAATTAGCTAATTAGTTAATTAACTCCACATGCCACCCAGACGCTGCACCAATGGGGAGAGTTAGAGGGAGCGGCTCTAATAAGTGAGAATGGGCACGAGCTACTCACCCAGTTTGATTGTTTGTATGATGAACTGAGTGAACAGTCTCACGCTATCACTCCTAATAACAAGAAGAAACCTGTTAAGAGAACTGATAACACAGGGTAAGTAGTCACATTAGTGGTCAATGGTCACATTAGTGGTCACATAGTGGTCACTGGTCACATAGTGGTCACATTAGTGGTCACGTGGGATAGCTGTAAGTTTTTGTTTATCAGTTTAGGGGGGGGGGGGGTATCAAAGAAGGAATATAACTTTTTTATTAGTTGTTTATTTCTGTTTATTTGTTGACCCAATGGCTTATTAAACTTAAAAAGTTACCTGAATAACAACACAACTTGACCACCACATCTAATCAGAAAAGAAAAGAAAGGGAACCTGAAAGACATGATCCAGGACCCAGGAGGTGCGCCGATCCTGAAGAGTGACACAGTTAAAGCGTTTGAAGCGCACGTGCTGCGTCACAGTGCAATCTACCCCACTAACAGCAGCGGAGATCCGGACTTTACCGGACAGGAGGACTTTAACTTGCTCTACACTGCTGTCGCTAACTTGTCCAGTCATCAAGCTCAAAAGGAAGGTTTGATTTAACGAATTGCTGGGCTGCGTACTGTACTTCTGGTATCTCCTTTTCTACTGTACTTCTGGTATCTCCTTTTCTACTGTACTTCTGGTATCTCCTTTTCTACTGTACTTCTGGTATCTCCTTTTCTACTGTACTTCTGGTATCTCCTTTTCTACTGTACTTCTGGTATCTCCTTTTCTACTGTACTTCTGGTATCTCCTTTTCTACTGTACTTCTGGTATCTCCTTTTCTACTGTACTTCTGGTATCTCCTTTTCTACTTTACTTCTGGTATCTCCTTTTCTACTGTACTTCTGGTATCTCCTTTTCTACTGTACTTCTGGTATCTCCTTTTCTACTGTACTTCTGGTATCTCCTTTTCTACTGTACTTCTGGTATCTCCTTTGCTACTGTACTTCTGGTATCTCCTTTTCTACTGTACTTCCGGTATCTCTTTTTCTACTGTACTTCTGGTATCTCCTTTTCTACTGTACTTCTGGTATCTCCTTTTCTACTGTACTTCTGGTATCTCCTTTTCTACTGTACTTCTGGTATCTCCTTTTCTACTGTACTTCTGGTATCTCCTTTTCTACTGTACTTCTGGTATCTCCTTTTCTACTGTACTTCTGGTATCTCCTTTTCTACTGTACTTCTGGTATCTCCTTTTCTACTGTACTTCTGGTATCTCCTTTTCTACTGTACTTCTGGTATCTCCTTTTCTACTGTACTTCTGGTATCTCCTTTTCGACTGTTCTTCTGGTATCTCCTTTTCTACTGTACTTCTGGTATCTCCTTTTCTTTTATAGATCACTTATCTTTCTTCCATCTTATCCTCCTATATCCCTTGTTTATCTTATCTGATATCTCACCTCCACCTAGACCTCTTATCTCCATCTCTCCAGTCTCTAATCCCCCTCAGTGTACAAGTTCAGACGCCGCTCCCGGTTCCTGGAGCTGTATGTTCGTGTGCTGGAGAAGGCCCTGCTAGAGAGTAGACCCGACCTAGTAGTGGACTGGTGCAGTGAGGCTGTGGCCTGGTTAACACGACGTAACGACCTTCTCATTGCTCAGAAGGCTCTTAATAAAGACGTTAAACCGGCTAAGAATCTCGAGGTTTTCATTTACTTTTTACTGCTAAGAATCTCGAGGTTTTCATTTACTTTTTACTGCTAAGAATTTCGAGGTTTTCATTTACTTTTTGAGTTAATGGCTGTGTTTATAATCTCGAGGTTTTCATTTACTTTTTGAATTAATGGCTGTGTTTATGATTGGCATTTTTCTTTTTTCGGTAAATGAACAGGACTTTGATATATTATGTTTACTTGCTGTATGATACATTGATAATATCCAGATGCTGAAACAGACTGTGATGGCTAAAGGATCTGATGCTGCTCTTGCAAAGAAGAATGATAACAAAACCCCTGGCGTCAAAAATATGTCCAAAAAGGAAGGGGTGAGTAACGCATTAGTGAACATTTTAGCCATCCAGTAAACTTGTCAATTGATACTATTCGAATTTTATTTATTTTTCAATTTTCAATATTTTTCAATATGATGCTTACTTTCTCTAATTTATTTGCTGATCGCTGTGCAAGTTAAGCCTTTAACATTTTGAATAGGAATGCACCGATAAAACTCGATATATCGGTGAGAAGGATGTAATTTATTTGATATATAATTTTAGATCAAGCCATTTAAACTTCTGGGTCAGCCGGATGAGAATAAAATGCAGGTATGTTACTCTAGTGCAGTGCTCTTATCTCGTTAACATTACCTTATATGGTAGTGTTACCATAGTGACACTACCATATAAGGTATGTTACTCTAGTTCTCTTCTCTTCCAGCATGACTCTCAAGTCTAGATTGTAGACCTTATATTATGCATGTTTTGAGCTTCTTGCTCTGGATTTTTATATTTTAACCAAGTTCCGTAACGTTTGCGTAACGTTTCATGAAAACTTATACACTCTTAAACAAATTTGTTTCTTAGAAAATTTATACCCTTAGTCTTTAGACTTTTGTTTTTATAAACTTTTCACTATATCAATAGTGTATTGAACTTAAGTCTGATTTATATAAGAAACTTACCGGTAGTAACTTGGTAAAAAGTAAATAATCCAGAAATTTTAGAGATTTTGTTATTATATTACTTCAATACAAATACATAATAATGCTGTGACCATGTGTTAACATGATGACTACCCAGGCTGCAAATACATAATAATGCTGTAACCATGTGTTAACATGATGACTACCCAGGCTGCAGAGCTACTCAGAGCCATCCTGCCAGATACCTGGAGAAGATCCTGTAGAATACAGAGACTACGTCTTATTACCCACGAGGAGATGCCCTGGAGAGCCCAGGTTTGCTGCTGAAGCTTGACCATGAAATTGTAACTTTATAGTGCTGTCTAATGGAAGTATTAGACCTTGAGGTCATAAATTTAAGTCTTTGCAACCTTCTGTTCGTGTTCTCAATTCAAATACAGATTCAAATAATTATGTGATATTTTATTAAGTTCGTCTGATAGAGCTACTTTTCAGTTAAACGTGATACTTGCCGCGTCCTGTTACCAACAATTCAAAGATAAGATGGACGTCAGAGTCAAGTCTTTTAATGATGCAGCTGATTTTAGCCATGGTACTGTGGTGGCTTTATCATTATACTTTATCGAACTTACTTAAGCAAACTTAAATACTTAGGCAAACTTTACTGATGCAAACTTTACTTAAGCGAACTTTACTGATGCAAAATTTACTGATGCAAACTTTACTTAAGCAAACTTTACTGATGCAAACTTTACTCAAGCAAACTTTACTCAAGCAAACTTTACTGATGCAAACTTTACTGATGCAAAATTTACTGATGCAAACTTTACTTAAGCAAACTTTACTGATGCAAACTTTACTCAAGCAAACTTTACTCAAGCAAACTTTACTGATGCAAAATTTACTGATGCAAACTTTACTTAAGCAAACTTTACTGATGCAAACTTTACTTAAGCAAACTTTACTGATGCAAACTTTACTTAAGCAAACTTTACTGATGCAAACTTTACTGATGCAAACTTTACTTAAGCAAACTTTACTTAAGCAAACTTTACTGATGCAAACTTTACTTATGCAAACTTTACTAATGCAAACTTTACTCAAGCAAACTTTACTCAAGCAAACTTTACTTAAGCGATCCGATGGAATCGATGTAATATCATATCGTATTCGTTACCGTTTCTGTGATATGCTAACAATTATGAACTTGGAAAAACAAGTTAGAATAAATTCTGTTAAAACTGACGGTGGTGACCTTCAGAATGTTCAAAGTCACAGTTGTGTAACAGTAGCCTCCCAGGCGGAGAGTACGACTTGTTGCCTAGCAACATGTTCGTGGTGGGGGACGTTGGGAGCATGATGAACAATAGTGAGGATCCTATTGAGGATATTCTGCGCGAGGTCAATTAGTAAATCTTATACTACTTTCGTTTTGCAGTTTATTCTTTCATTCTCATACCATTTTGTGATACTTATGTTTTATAATCGTGAAGGGTAAAGACCCAGAGAAAGAGCTAAAGACTATGGAACTTACTATCTACGAGTACTTGGCTGACAGATATGGACAGGAAGAACGGAAACCATACCTTGATAAGCCCAATAAGGAAGGACCAGTCACCAAGACCCTCAGGAAAAAGAAGAAGGACACAGCACGCGAGTATAGAGAGGCTGTGAGAGAGGGCGGAGTCACTTCTGGTGGTGCCAAAGCAGTAAGAGCGCAGTACTGGAGACTAGTGAGAATCCACAACAAGTCTAGGCGTGAACAGTTGAAGAAGAGGAAAAAGAAAGAAAAGAAGAAGGAGACCCAACGCTTCAGGAGGAACCCCTATGACTACAGTAAAAGACTCCTTGATGAGAAGATCTCGGGAGAGCCTACCTTCGGCAAGGAAGAGGCTGACAGATACTACCCCAAGGAATACATGGACCGAGATAGATGTTATGTCTTCGAAAAGATGGCAGGAATACCAGATGCCAAAGACCCAGTGTACCCCTTTGTGTGCACAGTACCTACTTACGAAGAGTTTGAAAAGAAGATCAAAACACGACGCAATGGATCTTCACCAGGGCCCAACGGAGTGCCATACATAGTTTACAAAAGGTGTGCCAGGCTGAGAGAACTATTGTATGCGTGTATTAGTAAACTCTGGTTATCAAACAGTGTCCCCTTGCAGTGGAGAATTGGAGAAAGCATCCTACTTCCCAAGACCACGGACCTTAGTGACCCTGGCAAGTTTAGGAACATCACTATGACTAACACCAGTGGGAAAGTGGCAATGGGTATGCTAGCTGATAAAATGCTCGACTACATGACCACCAATAAGTACATCGATACCTCTGTGCAAAAAGGCTTCCTGCGCAAGATGCCAGGATGCATAGAACACACACAAGCGCTCATGGAGGAACTGCGGGATGCAAAGAGCAAGAGAAGACAGGTGTATGCAGTATGGGTGGATCTTATGAATGCTTATGGGAGAGTACCTCATGAGCTGATAGTGTTTGCGCTTCGGCACTACAAGTTCCCAGAAGAAGTGGTCCAATATATTGTCAAGTACTACGACGAACTGGTAGTACGGGTGAAGACGAAGAAGTGGAAGAGTGAGTGGTTCTACTACCTAATCGGGTTGTTTCAAGGGGACCCGCTTTCTGTCGTGCTATTCTTAATAGCATTCAACCTACTCTTGGATTTACTTCAGGTCGACAGAACAATGGGATACAAGCCGTCGTTCAGCTCTGAGCCAACTACAAACAGAGCTTTTGCAGATGATCTCACCCTGCTGTCTGACAGACTCGACAAAATGAAGAGGCTGGTCGGGCAAATGGAGGAATTCTTAGCATGGACAAGGACGATGAGAGCTAAACCCAGCAAGTGTATTGCTCTCGGAATGAAGGTAGTGGACAATACCTACAGATCGTTTGACCCTGAGATCATCATTGCAAACGAGAAAGTAGCGTACCTTGGTGACACACCGATAAAGTTCCTTGGTCACTGGATTTACGTCAACCTGGGCCAAGATGAGACGAGAGAGCTAATCACCACTCAACTTTCAGGCCAGCTGGAAAAAGTAGACATGGCGGAGCTCTCTGGACCAAGCAAGTGCTGGATCTACAACCACATGCTAACTAGCAAAGTACAGTGGAATATTATGATATACAACCTCCCAGTATCATTCATCCAGACACTAGAGGCTCTTTGTACCAGATACTTGAAGAAATGGCTTGGAGTTACTACTTCCATATCGAATAGTGTGCTGTACAGATCAAAAGACCACTTTGGACTATCGTTAAAGCAGATCTCCAACCTGTACAAATGTCTACAGGTGTCCAAGGCCTATATGCTGAAGACATCGGTTGACCCCAAAGTGAGGGAGATTTTCGAGTACAGAGAAAACACCAACAGAGACAAGAAGAGATGGGACTACACCAAGGAGCTGACTAATAGGGAGAGAGACCTCTACTTCAAAGAACTGATTGGCTACGTGCAGACCAGGGAAGGAGCCGGTATTGGATTCGGTGATCAGAGGAGGAAGAAGAACAAAAAGGAGCAACTAGTGGAGATAATTAAGTCTCTGAAAGAAGAGGAGCTCCTTCAAACTCTCTACGATAAGAGAGTCCAAGGAAAGTTTCTAACCTGGGAGAACACCATGCAGCTAGACACTGGCTGGCAAAGCCTGCTGTATACCTTGAGCCCCGAGCTGACAAAGTTCCACCTAAATGCCATCCACGACGTTGCAAGTACACCTAGCAACCTCCAGCTTTGGAACTACAGCTCCACGAACAACTGTCCCCTTTGTGGGCGTCAGCAGTGCAACCTAAAGCACATTCTAACGTGTTGCCCAGTGTCGCTTAAACAAGGAAGGTATAATTGGAGACATGATCAGGTGCTCAGGGTAATCGTGCAACCAATTGCAGAGAAGCTGAGGGAGATAAACAGTGCTACCCCAAAGACAGAAGTAAAGAGAGAGTGGAGGAAGTTCGTATCCGGAAAAGGAACCTACAGGAAACCCGAAGTACGGCTTACAGAAGAACCTCATCTTCTAGAGGAAGGTAACGACTGGAAACTAGTGTTTGATGAGGACGAAAGGACAAGACAATTCCCCCAACATATTGTCAACACAGCTCTCAGACCTGATGTGGTAATATACTCTAACACACTCAGGAAAGTCATCCTGGTAGAGCTGACCTGTGGAAACGAGGAGAACTTTGAGGACCAGAGATCCCGGAAAGAGAAGAGATACGAAGAGCTAATGGTGGAGATCGAGACCGCAGGCTGGGAAGGATATCTCTTTACAGTAGAAGTTGGATGTCGTGGATTCTACCACCACACATTACCCCGAATTTTCAACTTCCTTAACATCACCCGGGCAAAGAAGAAGAGGGCACTTAACACAACAGCGGTGGTGTCCCTGAAAGGTTCCTACACTATCTGGCTTAATCGCTACAACAAGACCTGGAGTGACAACTGGCAGCTGGCTGAAAGACCCTGCCCAGTTTAACCCTGATGAACAGCTGAACGTTGGGCCCTTAAAACGTCGTTGAAAGCTACATCTGGGGTCGTAAGTCCCAGACATCAGAAGAAGTCAGAGAGTGTAGAAGATTCTGCGTCTGAAAAGACTAGAGAATTGAGGTAAATATAGTTGGTTTGGTCTATCTGTTTTCGCTCTTTTGAGTGGGTCAATCATATAATTGATATTTTTGAAGTAACTGTGAGGTGTGGAGCTATGATAACATTACCTGGCCTTATATGGTAGTCAGTGAGTGTTACCGGACCTTTACTGATAGTTGAAATTCGACATATGACGTCATCTAGCGTCATCTAGCGTCATCTAGCGTGAAATATCGCCAGATGATGATAGATGACGCTAGATGACGCTAGATGACGCTAGATGACGCCAATTAGCGACATTGTCGCTAAGTGCACGACACCTTTCGAATGTCGCTATCTAGCGCTATCTAGCGCTATCTAGCGCTATCTAGCGCTATATGACGCTATATGACGCTATATGACGCTAGATGACGCTAGATGACGCTAGATGACGCTAAGCACGCAGCACTGACGCCAGGCGACAGATAGCGCTATTTTCATAAAAATTCTAGGGACGACATCTAGCGTCATCTAGCGTCATATAGCGTCATCTATCATCATCTGGCGATATTTCACGCTAGATGACGCTAGATGACGCTAGATGACGTCATATGTCGAATTTCAACTATCAGTAAAGGTCCGTGTTACCATTGTAACATATCTCAATGCAGGGTCACGTGAGTTAGTGTTGCCATAGTAACACATCTCAATGCAGGGTCACGTGAGTTAGTGTTGCCATAGTAACACATCTTAATGCAGGGTCACGTGAGTTAGTGTTGCCATAGTAACATATCTCACTGCAGGGTCACGTGAACGTTTCACCCTCACTGGAAAGGGAGAAAACTAACCTGACAGCTCTGATGAGCAAGAAGGGGAGTGTCAGCTCTGTTACCTCAAGGTATAATATAAATTAGTGACCCATTAGTGATAAATTTATATTGTATAGTAGTGAATATGGTGGGTAGGATTCACAATTTCACATTCTAATTCTATTGATAATGTTATTTTTGTTTAAATCTTCATTGATAACATTTGATCTGAACTGTACATGATAGTCTTAGTATGTATATTACCTAATATCACCCTTGTAAGTTATTGCTTAATACCTAATACCATGCTAGTAAATTTGTAAGATATAACTAAATCTGTTCTGAACTGGACATGGTACTATGACCACCTACTATCTAATACGATCCTGTTATTTTGTAAGATATTATTTAATCTGATCTGAACTGGACGAACAAGGCGTTTCAGACAAAGCAAGTACTGTCTCTCAAGCGACAAAGCAAAAGAGATAAAGATGAGTTACAGCAGTTACCTAGTGCAGACCTTTGTAAGTCTGACCCAGGCTCTGGTGTTAGCTCACCGGGGCGCACATTGGGGGTTGCTTCAGAACATTGCTTCTCAGCTGTGGAGAATTGTCATGGACCTTCACATGAAGATGAAGGTGATTTTATTTTTAATAGTTTTGCAGTGATTACGAAAATGGATTGTGTTAAGTTATGTAGACAGTATGGCATTAAAATACAGATAATAGACTCTGTGATGATTTGACCGATTTGGATAGATTAAGGGATATTTTGAGCCCTTTAGTATGTTCGCTGGTGTTATTAAAGCGTAGCTAATTATTGGACAACACATAGTTAGTGCATGGTTTATGATTGATTACTAATTACTATGATTGTGATTCTTTTTGAACATTGTCGTAGAATAATTGTATGTAATTTCTATAAAACGTTTCAGACCCTGCCAACCTCTACAAGAGAAGCGTTGGGTCTCACTGACCAGGCTATCAATGATCTCACTATTTCAGACCCTGCCAACCTCTACAAGAGAAGCGTTGGGTCTCACTGACCAGGCTATCAATGATCTCACTATTTCAGACCCTGCCAACCTCTACAAGAGAAGCGTTGGGTCTCACTGACCAGGCAATCAATGATCTCAATATTTCAGACCCTGCCAACCTCTACAAGAGAAGCGTTGGGTCTCACTGACCAGGCTATCAATGATCTCACTATTTCAGACCCTGCCAACCTCTACAAGAGAAGCGTTGGGTCTCACTGACCAGGCTATCAATGATCTCACTATTTCAGACCCTGCCAACCTCTACAAGAGAAGCGTTGGGTCTCACTGACCAGGCTATCAATGATCTCACTATTTCAGACCCTGCCAACCTCTACAAGAGAAGCGTTGGGTCTCACTGACCAGGCTATCAATGATCTCACTATTTCAGACCCTGCCAACCTCTACAAGAGAAGCGTTGGGTCTCACTGACCAGGCTATCAATGATCTCACTATTTCAGACCCTGCCAACCTCTACAAGAGAAGCGTTGGGTCTCACTGACCAGGCTATCAATGATCTCACTATTTCAGACCCTGCCAACCTCTACAAGAGAAGTGTTGGGTCTCACTGACCAGGCTATCAATGATCTCACTATTTCAGACCCTGCCAACCTCTACAAGAGAAGCGTTGGGTCTCACTGACCAGGCTATCAATGATCTCAATATTTCAGACCCTGCCAACCTCTACAAGAGAAGCGTTGGGTCTCACTGACCAGGCTATCAATGATCTCACTATTTCAGACCCTGCCAACCTCTACAAGAGAAGCGTTGGGTCTCACTGACCAGGCTATCAATGATCTCACTATTTCAGACCCTGCCAACCTCTACAAGAGAAGCGTTGGGTCTCACTGACCAGGCTATCAATGATCTCACTATTTCAGACCCTGCCAACCTCTACAAGAGAAGCGTTGGGTCTCACTGACCAGGCTATCAATGATCTCACTATTTCAGACCCTGCCAACCTCTACAAGAGAAGCGTTGGGTCTCACTGACCAGGCTATCAATGATCTCACTATTTCAGACCCTGCCAACCTCTACAAGAGAAGTGTTGGGTCTCACTGACCAGGCTATCAATGATCTCACTATTTCAGACCCTGCCAACCTCTACAAGAGAAGCGTTGGGTCTCACTGACCAGGCTATCAATGATCTCACTATTTCAGACCCTGCCAACCTCTACAAGAGAAGTGTTGGGTCTCACTGACCAGGCTATCAATGATCTCACTATTTCAGACCCTGCCAACCTCTACAAGAGAAGTGTTGGGTCTCACTGACCAGGCTATCAATGATCTCACTATTTCAGACCCTGCCAACCTCTACAAGAGAAGTGTTGGGTCTCACTGACCAGGCTATCAATGATCTCACTATTTCAGACCCTGCCAACCTCTACAAGAGAAGCGTTGGGTCTCACTGACCAGGCTATCAATGATCTCACTATTTCAGACCCTGCCAACCTCTACAAGAGAAGCGTTGGGTCTCACTGACCAGGCTATCAATGATCTCACTATTTCAGACCCTGCCAACCTCTACAAGAGAAGCGTTGGGTCTCACTGACCAGGCTATCAATGATCTCACTATTTCAGACCCTGCCAACCTCTACAAGAGAAGTGTTGGGTCTCACTGACCAGGCTATCAATGATCTCACTATTTCAGACCCTGCCAACCTCTACAAGAGAAGTGTTGGGTCTCACTGACCAGGCTATCAATGATCTCACTATTTCAGACCCTGCCAACCTCTACAAGAGAAGCGTTGGGTCTCACTGACCAGGCTATAAATGATCTCACTATTTCAGACCCTGCCAACCTCTACAAGAGAAGCGTTGGGTCTCACTGACCAGGCTATCAATGATCTCACTATTTCAGACCCTGCCAACCTCTACAAGAGAAGTGTTGGGTCTCACTGACCAGGCTATCAATGATCTCACTATTTCAGACCCTGCCAACCTCTACAAGAGAAGTGTTGGGTCTCACTGACCAGGCTATCAATGATCTCACTATTTCAGACCCTGCCAACCTCTACAAGAGAAGCGTTGGGTCTCACTGACCAGGCTATAAATGATCTCACTATTTCAGACCCTGCCAACCTCTACAAGAGAAGCGTTGGGTCTCACTGACCAGGCTATAAATGATCTCACTATTTCAGACCCTGCCAACCTCTACAAGAGAAGCGTTGGGTCTCACTGACCAGGCTATAAATGATCTCACTATTTCAGACCCTGCCAACCTCTACAAGAGAAGTGTTGGGTCTCACTGACCAGGCTATAAATGATCTCACTATTTCAGACCCTGCCAACCTCTACAAGAGAAGCGTTGGGTCTCACTGACCAGGCTATCAATGATCTCACTATTTCAGACCCTGCCAACCTCTACAAGAGAAGCGTTGGGTCTCACTGACCAGGCTATCAATGATCTCACTATTTCAGACCCTGCCAACCTCTACAAGAGAAGCGTTGGGTCTCACTGACCAGGCTATCAATGATCTCACTATGAAGCCTATGTATCACATGGCTGACTTCATGTTGGACTATGTTGAGAACATAATCTCATGCAATGAGGTGAGAATACATTAGCGAGCAGTTTGTGAGGTATTAAATAGTGTACTTATTTTAATACTTTAAACACTTTTAATACTTTGAAAGCTCCTGCTAATACAATCTTTTCGTATCACTTATATAATATGCTTTAAATAATCCCCCTCCCGCTTTAAACACTACTATATACATATATTATACAGTTTGTTCGTAATAGTTTTATTAACCTAATCACTTGATAATAACTTAATGGTTAATTGCAGGATATAGAGGACCCCAGTACGATTGTGGGTAAACCGGAGGATATTGACGGGGGAGCCTCGCTACACTTCGATAAGTTTGATGACACCTCCTTCGTTCACATAAGATGGGTGCGTTATTTATTAATTAATTGTTTAGTTGTAAAGTTGAGGTGTACAATTATGAACCACTTTTATTTAGTGTTAGGTCAAATAAGACAACATTGTTCCTAATTTAAAACACGAAATGAACTGCAATTAGTTAACATTAATTAAACTAATCAAAATTAAATTAAAAAAGTAATGAAATATGTTTACTGATGTAACTGATGCTTAATATCCAGATCGAAAGCCTATTTAACATAAACGTTAAAGCAAAATGAAGTCAAAAATTATTTTAAAAAGGAATTTCGAGAAAATCTGAGCTTTTTGAAAAATCTAAGAACTTTAAAATAAAAGTTGAAAACGGTATTCTGATCCTAATCCATCTATTATATTATATTAAAAATCTTAAATTTGTTGACATATTAACATGTTGCACGGTATTGCTGTATCACTAGATCATGCCTTTACTGTCAAATCTCAACTCAAATATTTAAAATTAGGACCATTGTAATTAATAAAATTGAATGCACTGAAAGGCGTTCTGATACGTTAAATTATTATTAAATGCTAGTGTTCACAGTTTTCTATTTCCTGCCTTTCGTGGATAGTGGATACGTGTGTTTAAAGTTCCTTCTGGGATGTTGTTAGTTTCATTCCAAGATGTAAGGTTCCTTCTAGGATGTTGAGTTCCTTCTGGGATGTTGTTAGGTTCCTTCGAGGATGTTGTAGGTTCCTTATGGGATGTTGTAAGGTTCCTTCTTGGATGTTGGGGACCTTCTGGGATGTTGTTATGTTCCTTCTGGGATGTTAGGCTTCTTCTGGGATGTAAGGTTCCTTCTGGGATGTTGTTAGGTTCCTTCGAGGATGTTGTAGGTTCCTTATGGGATGTTGTTAGGTTCCTTCTGGGATGTTGTTAGGTTTCTTCTAGGATGTTGTAGGTTCATTCTGGGATGTAAGGTTCCTTCTGGGATATTGAGTTCCTTCTAGGTTGTTGTTAGGTTCCCTCTGGGATGTTAGGCTTCTTCTGGGATGTTAGGTTCCTTCTGGGATGTTAGGCGTCTTCTGTAATGTTGAGTTCCTTCTGGGATGTTGTTAGGTTTCTTCTGGGATATCAGGTTCTTTCTAGGATGTTGTTAGGTTCCTTCTGGGATGTTAGTTCATTCTAGGATGTTAGGTTCCTTCTGGGATGTCAGGTTCTTTTTAGGATGTTGTTAGGTTCCTTCTGGGATATTTGGTCGTTCTAGGATGTTAGGTTCCTTCTGGGATGGCAGGTTCTTTCTAGGATGTTGTTAGGTTCCTTCTGGGATGTTAGGTTCATTCTAGGATGTTAGGTTTCTTCTTGGATGTTGTAATCTCTCTTTCTAGGATACAAGATACGTGACTTGCAGATGGTCATCTTTTGAGTCTTGCAGATACTCTGAAATATTGAAATCTAATTAATTGGTGCCAAAAGACAACGATATTTATTTATTTAGTAATTTGACACTACTTGGGGGTCCAAATTATAGGACCTAAAGTTCCTATTCTTTGGCCAATTTTATATAAATCTTCAAACTGGTCGAAAGGCCATAAAAGCATTCAGGCTTCAGCCCAGTCAAAAAAGTTTCCATGGTTTATCTCTCACGGTTTTCACGAATCACAGAAAGTGGCGTTAAAATTGATAATGTTAAAGAGTTAAAGGTTAATCTGTGCATCAAGTTCAAACTTACATTTAAACTTTGTTGATACTCGGTAGGCTAGGGCTATCTAGCTATGTTTCTGGTGTCCTTAATGGGGTTCTTTTTTTCTGAAAAGGTAAAAGCTCTTAAGGGGGCAGGGGGGGGGGTCTTCATGGAAATTTTCTCAAAATCGACTTTTTAGTTGTTTCTGATAGATGGGAGTGATATCTATCAGATGCTTTCAATCCGATAGAAAAATATTGCTCCTAGCAGAAATTATCGCCGGTAGAAGGTCAGCACTTGTGTGTAATTGTATTGCGCGAGCGATTTTTGATCGCGTGCCCTGAAAATCGAGTCTTAAAATCTATCTTCTCCTACATTTTTTGAGCAATCACCCTCAAACTTTCAGGATATGTTCTAGGGATCATTTAGAAGAGATTGTCCAGGCAAAATTTTGAGATAGGCCTTTAAACATTTTTTATTCGATTTTGAAAATCTTGGACCTGGTTTTTTGACGATTTTTCGAGGTCCAAGATTTTTAAAATCGAATAAAAAATGTTTAAAGGCCTATCTCAAAATTTTGCCTGGACAATCCTTTGAGGGTGATTGCTCAAAAAATGTAGGAGAAGATAGATTTTTAGACTCGATTTTCAGGGCACGCGATCAAAAATCGCTCGCGCAATACAATTACACACAAGCGCTGACCTTTTACCGGCGATAATTTCGGCTAGGAACAATATTTTTCTATCGGATTAAAAGCATCTGATAGATATCACTCCCCTCTATCAGAAACAACTAAAAAGTCGATTTTGAGAAAATTTCCATGAAGACCCCCCCCTGCCCCCTTAAGTTAATCATCATTACATACAATATTTTGATTGCAGCGCGTCATTTTCGAGAAGACAGAGGTAACCGTAAACTAAATGATTTCTCTGGAATCTTTTGTTTTAGAAATTATCGATTCAAATAAATATCCATGCTTTTTCGTCGTAAGCGAAAAATAAAAATGATTTTGTTACTAAATATTGATCCGAAATTGGGGAATAAGAGCTTTTATTAGGATTACCTCATTCGGAAGAACCAATACTGGAGGAGATATATTGGAGAAGAGTCTTTTGTAAATTCTCTCGCTTGCTTGCCGATCTTGCTGCTCTGAAATTTAACAATTCAACAACTCATTATTACGAATAATTGAATGTTTATCGGAGATATTGGTGATAATCTGGTTGATCTATGTCAAAAACTTTATAAAAACTTTCGTTCTCCTTCAGATATTATATAACTCACCTTCCAGCTTCCTGTATGCGTTGATTTCCATCAGCAGGCAGGGGGGGGGGGAGCTAACTGTATGGACTACATGAAATATTGAGTGGTGGGGGGGGGGGGAGCTAACTGTATGGACTACATGAAATATTGAGTGGTGGGGGGGGAGCTAACTGTATGGACTACATGAAATATTGAGTTGGGGGGGGGGGGGGGGGGGGGGGGGAGCTAACTGTATGGACTACATGAAATATTGAGTGGTGGTGGGGGGGGGGGGGAGCTAACTGTATGGACTACATGATATATTGAGTGGTGGTGGTGGGGGGGGAGCTAACTGTATGGACTACATGAAATATTGAGTGGTGGGGGGGGGGGGGAGCTAACTGTATGGACTACATGATATATTGAGTGGTGGTGGGGGGGGGGGGGGGAGCTAACTGTATGGACTACATGAAATATTGAGTGGTGGGGGGGGGGGTGGAGCTAACTGTATGGACTACATGAAATATTGAGTGGTGGTGGTGGGGGGGGGGGGAGCTAACTGTATGGACTACATGAAATATTGAGTGGTGGTGGGGGGGGGGGGGGAGCTAACTGTATGGGCTACATGAAATATTGAGTGGTGAGGGGGGGGAGCTAACTGTATGGGCTACATGAAATATTGAGTGGTGAGGGTGGGGGGGGGGGGAGCTAACTGTATGGACTACATGAAATATTGAGTGGTGGTGGTGGGGGGGGGGAGCTAACTGTATGGACTACATGAAATATTGAGTGGTGGTGGGGGGGGGGGGAGCTAACTGTATGGACTACATGATATATTGAGTGGGGGGGGGGAGCTAACTGTATGGACTACATGAAATATTGAGTGGTGGTGGGGGGGGGGGAGCTAACTGTATGGACTACATGAAATATTGAGTGGTGGGGGGGGGGGGAGCTAACTGTATGGACTACATGAAATATTGAGTGGTGGGGGGGGGGGGAGCTAACTGTATGGACTACATGATATATTGAGTGGTGGGGGGGGGGGAGCTAACTGTATGGACTACATGAAATATTGAGTGGTGGGGGGGGGGGGGAGCTAACTGTATGGACTACATGAAATATTGAGTGGTGGGGGGGGGGGGAGCTAACTGTATGGACTACATGAAATATTGAGTGGTGGTGGGGGGGGGGGGGGAGCTAACTGTATGGACTACATGAAATATTGAGTGGTGGGGGGGGGGGGGGGAGCTAACTGTATGGACTACATGAAATATAGAGTGGTGGGGGGGGGGGAGCTAACTGTATGGACTACATGAAATATTGAGTGGTGGGGGGGGGGGGGAGCTAATTGTATGGACTACATGAAATATTGAGTGGTGGTGGGGGGGGGGGGAGCTAACTGTATGGACTACATGAAATATTGAGTGGTGGGGGGGGGGGGGAGCTAACTGTATGGACTACATGAAATATTGAGTGGTGGGGGGGGGGGGGAGCTAACTGTATGGACTACATGAAATATTGAGTGGTGGGGGGGGGGGGAGCTAACTGTATGGACTACATGAAATATTGAGTGGTGGTGGGGGGGGGGGGGGGGGCTAACTGGCAACTTGGTCGTTTAGCTCCGGACAGTCTATGCAACGTCTATGCAACGTCCATGCAACAACAAAAGAACCGTCTATGCAACGTCTATGCAACGTCCCTGCACAATGAACACTCTATGCACACTCCCTGCACGGTCAGTCTATGCAACGTCTATGCAACGTCTATGCAACGTCTATGCAACGTCCCTGCACAGTACCATATGAACACCGGCTACTAGCCGGCTACTAGCCGGCTACTAGCCGGCTAGTAGCCACTTTTGTAATAACAGCTCCTCAACTTCACATTACCAACCGGCTACTAACCGGCACTTGAAAAGTGGTCACTAGCCGGCTACTAACCGGCTACTAGCCGGCTAGTGACCACAAAGTGGCTACTAACCGGCTACTAAGCGGTCACTAGCCGGCTATTAGCCGAGCTCTAAAGCAGACCTACTAGTAGCCGGTTCCAAACCGGCTACTAGCCGGCACTTAGAAAGCGGTCACTAGCCGGCTACTAACCGGCTAGTAACCACCAAGTGGCTAC